CACGAAAATACTCATTGCCCTCTATTCTTTTCTCTGGCGAGAGACTGTGCACCTATGGGTGTGAATGCTTTGGCTCACCCATGGCCAAGCGTACTGCTTTATGCGTTTCCTCCACTGAGTCTGATCGTACCAACTCTAAAAAGAGTAAGAGAGTGTGGTCACTCAGTTATACTGATCGCTCCAAATTGGCCAGGGAAGTTGTGGCTGACAGAGATATGGCCCGTGAGAGGTTGAATTTAGGTGTTACGGGTTTGCCTCCGAGGGTGATTGAAACTATTCAAAATGCGAGAGCGGCTTCGACGCGCTCTGCATATGATGGCAAATGGAATGAGTTTGAGCTTTGGTGCGAGCAAAGGCAAATTGTTCCTTTTCACTGTTCGGTGGCAAAGGTGTTATGTTTTCTGCAATAACTTTTAGATAAGGGCAGAGCCTTCTCTAATGTTAAAGTTTATCTTGCCGCAATGTCTGCATGCCATGTGGGGATTGACAGAAATACAATAGGTCAGCACTCTCTTGTGTGCAGGTTTATGAGGGGGCGCGGCGTCTGAACAGGTTTTCAGAGCTGCTGATTCCGCCGTGGGAGCTGTCGGTGGTCCTTAACGCATTCTCTCAGCCTCCTTTTGAGCCAATAGACAATATTGCTAAAGGTTGCTTTGTTATTGGCTCTTTAGACCGCAAAACTAGTTAGTGAACTTCATGCTTTGTCGGTTCATAACTCCTGTATGATGTTTGCTATGGATTTCTCGCAAGTAACTCTCAAGACAAATCCAGCATTTGTGCTTAAGGTGAGCGAGTCAGCTTTCGCCTGTAGACTTAGATTTACTGGATTTTCATCCGCTGCCTTTTTCTCATCGGAAGAAGAGCGGCTTCATTGTTTGTGCCCTGTCCACGCGTTGTGTCATTATGTGGACAGGACGAAGGGATTAAGAAGGAGGAATCAGTTATTTGTTTCATGGGCTGATTCTCATAAGGGTAAACCTATTTCTGTGTGCCAAGAAAATATCCCCCACACCATTACACCACCACCACCAGCCTGAACCGTTGAGACAAGGCAGGATGGATCCATGCTTTCATGTTCTTTACGCCAAATTCTGACCCTACCATCTGAATGTCGCAGCAGAAATCGAGACTCATCAGACCAGGCAACGTTTTTCCAATCTTCTATTGTCCAATTTTGGTGAGCCTGTGCGAATTGTAGCCTCTGTTTCCTGTTCTTAGCTGACAGGAGCGGCACCCGGTGTGGTCTTCTGCTGCTGTAGCCCATCTGCTTCAGGGTTCGACGTGTTGTGCGTTCAGAGATGGTATTCTGCATACCTTGGTTGTAACGAGTGGTTATTTGAGTTACTGTTGCCTTTCTATCATCTCTTACCAGTCTGCCCATTCTCCTTTGACCTCTGACATCAACAAGGCATTTTCGTCCACATAACTGCCGCTCACTGGATATTTTCTCTTTTTCGTACCATTCTCTGTAAACCCTAGAGATGGTTGTGCGTGAAAATCCCAGTAGATCAGCAGTTTTTGAAATACTCAGACCAGCCCATCTGGCGCCAACAACCATTCCACGTTCAAAGTCACTTAAATCCCCTTTCTTCCCCATTCTGATGCTCGGTTTGACCTTCAGCAAGTCGTCTTCACCACATCTAGATGCCTAAATGCATTGAGTTGCTGCCATGTGATTGGCTGATTAGCAATTTGTGTTACCAAGCAATTGAACAGGTGTACCTAATAAAGTGGCCGGTGAGTGTATATGAGGGAGGCGGGACTCCCGCATCACTGTCGTGATTGGTCTGTCAACCAACAGACGTGGTGTAATTGGTGCTTCCAGGATTGGTCACGCCCGAGGCGATTCTCATAGTTAGTTACCTCACTCATGTTATCAGAGAACCGGCGTTACGTGAGTAACCTAAAGTTCTTTCATGGTTCAATGCATAATCTCTTCATTTTTGTAACGTTTTAAGACATTGGGCCTGTGTGCTGCTGTTCGATCAACAGGATAAAAGTGAGATGCATCCTGTAGAAAAGCTTATTTGGTGTTAGCTTGCAGTTGCATGTAATTATGCAAAAAAAAAAAGTGACTTTGGTGAGCTTGTACTCAATGTTGGGACAGATATGGACGAAGGTTTGTGGGACCTCAGAAAGAGAAGTATTTGGTGAACCACTCCTGTTTTTGAGGGTCTTGTCCATCAGGCCCTGTTTCAATAACCCTCTGCTCAGCTGGAGTCCTGAAACAAAAGTACAAGATAAATAAGAGCAGGAAATGTAAATATGACATCTTGAGAGAAAAGGAAAAAAAAAGTTAAGGAAGAGATTTTTTTTAACTATCAGGAAAAGGTTTTTTATTGTGTTTATAAGACTTTTGAGCTCAAGCAGCTGAATAGGTAGTTAAAGCATGTCTAATATGGATTTTTTTAAATGTATGTACCCAATTATTAATGCAAAAGTGGGCAGAACAATTTTTTACTTTAACGTGCAAGGCTTCAGGTGTCAGCTTCTTCTAATTATTGCTATATTATGCTATTGTATACTACACATTTTGGCAAATATAGTTGGTCATCCAACTATTTTAGACTTTTTTTTTTTTTACGGAGTATCTATTTACACTGTGCAAATAGCCCGCCTTGTTGGCGGAGAATAGAATCTATAGCTATTTGCACTTAGTGTAAATAGCATATCGTTAAAATACTATTTTCACTTAGTGTAAATAGCATCCATCGCTATTTACACTTAGTGCAAATAGCCGCTGCCTTTTTTTTTTAACTTTACTAATGTCCAGTGCTGCTACTTTGATTACACAAAAAGCCATACAAAAAAAAAAAAAAAGGGTATTGTATATTGAATAGAAGATAAAAAGGAGCTTTTATTGGTCCTTGGGCTAGTTTTGAAGAGTGCTATTTTAGTATTATTTAATGTTATTATAGTATTTCATTATTTCAAATGAGCTTTTATATTTGCATGTATTTTCATATATATTTGCATTTTATTTCATTTTTAATTTTGGTTTGAATTTAATTAATATTGTGATTTTGTCAGACATATTTCATTTAACAATTTGTTGTTTTAATAGTTTGAGTTAATAACACTAGTTTTAAATAGTTATTAGGATGTTGTTTGTCACACGTGCCTAGAAACCCTGAACTACATTTAAAAATCCCTTTTTTTTTTTAAGCAATTTCAGACCATATTTTACAATATGAGATGATTTATCTCAGAACAGAAAAGGCACCATATACAAATAATTTTTAAGTTGCTTTGGATAAAAGCATCTAATCAATGAAAAATATGTAATTATGTATTATTAATTCTCCACATGAACATAGACCATACATTGAGATTTGTATTTATCTACCTCAAAAAGAAAAAAAAGTTTCCAGGAGATTTCAGGATTGGCTGTTGTGGGTGATTACCTGATGTGCTGGTTGTAGTTGATTTTAAGCTGCGGCTGATGTCGCACCTCTTGTGAAGGTGGGCGGCTCTGTCTGATAGAGGCTCTGTGTTCAGAATGAGGGGAGGTGGGTGTGTGTGTCCTTGTTAGGGTGGTCCCTCGCCCGCACTGTTCCAGACTGCCACGCTCCATAACTGGTGAGCATTTGGCCTTAGGTGACCCCCCATCATATGAGCAGAAGTTTGGGATGCTAGTTTCCTCAACCCCTTTTTTCTATAAACAGCAGGCAGATTACAACAGATTAAGCCCAAGCTTTAATAAACATGTTCTTTTAGGGTGCTTTCACACTAGCACTTTTGGTGCGTACCTGGGTTCGATTGGATGATGTGAACGCGGTCTTCCGAACTCGGGTGCGCACCCGCAAACCGTACCTGAGTCCGCTTGAAAGGGGTGGTCTGGGGTACGGTTCGCTGCTGATGTGAACGCAGTCGTACCAAATCACGGAAGTTAACCGCTATTAATGACGTATTATTTGATATACATTCGTAAGGCAGACGTAAGTGACGTTATGTACTGAAGCTTTGGAAACAAAACCAACGGTTCAAAAACATAAATATAAAATTTAAGAGAGCAATGCTACGCAATTTGCCGTCTTCTCCTGCGCCATCGTTACTAAGCAACGGGGTAAACAGCTGCTGGCTTGATGACGCAAACGACCCAAATAATATAATGTGAACACAGTCCAGCGGGGGCAGGGGGAGGGGGGAGCAATCGAACTCGGGTTCGCAGCAGGGGGAGGGGGAGCAATCGAACCAAGTGTGAAAGCACCCTTAGATATTGAATGATACTATATGGATGGAATGGGATTTGAAAAAGTGTAAATGTGTGCTACCTTCATAGTAGGTGTGAGGGTCCCTGCTTGTGTCCTAGAGTCATAAGGCTTAAATATTTCATCGCTGCACAGAGTTGGATGCTGGGATATCTGGTGGAGGTCCTCCTGAAATAAAAAAAAAAATGATGTGATGAGACAGAAGGGTACTAGCATCCTGTGTCTCGTACTTCACTGTGTATGTGCGTGTCTAACCACTAGACTTTTGATGAGTTGGTCTCTCTCGCTGAGTTTGTCCTGTAGTTTAGCAATTGTGTGCAGGTCTTCTACTCTCCTCTTTCCCCTTTCTTCCCTTTCTCTCAACCTACAATCATAAAATACAAGCACACAAAGCAGACACAAATATTAAATAAATGCAACATTAAGAAATTAAATACATCACTTGAACTATTTTAGTAAAAAAAAAGAAAGAAAAAAATGTTTAGAGAATAATCTCACAACTAGACTAGGAATAGACCAGAATAAAGGTGTAGCATTATTTCATTATTACATTTCCACTTTATTCTCATTTTACAATTTATTTTCAAAATATTACAATTTTATTTACAAAAAATGAAGCCTTTATTTTCATAATGTTTTGATTTTATTCTTAATCTTATTTTCTATTTTAATATGGCACTAAAACACTCAAACTTTTATTACTCGTATAACATGACATTCTAATATAGATAATATGAATAATTTTAACAGAACCTTGTATGTGTTTTTGAACTGTATTTTGTTGTATAACTAAGTTATTGTACAACTTTTTTCAAATGAGTAATTATGAGTCTGTTATATGATGCAGTATAATGTTAAGCAGTGGTAAAATATAGTAAAATGTGTTAAACAGACCTGGAAGTACTGCATTTTTATAGCGACGGTTATTATTAAATTAGCCAATATATTTCATAAATTAGCATGCAATGTGTGGAATTTTAACTCGCTTCAGTTCTGTGGAAATCTGAAGGAAATCCAAGTCACAAGCCATTGCCATATATTGTCTTGCTTGGGTTAATTCTGTATGTATGTGTGGTTTGTGTTTTGCATTATTGATGTGGGAGGAGTAGGTACTCTGTTTCCAAGGCAACTATGCGGGCCTGTAGTCGTGTTTGGGCGGTGCCAAAGTCTGATATTATGGTCTGGATCTCCATTCTGTGCTCTCTCTTCACACTCTCCATGTTATTCCTGTGATCCGACCCAACCGCTTCACCTGCCTCATCACATTCCTCTGAGAAACTGCACATCAGACACAATACATCAATATCACGCATGTATATTCTGCTTTGTTCTCAGGCCTATAGCAGATATCAGATTTACTTAGCCTTAAATGTCACATAAAAACACAGCATGTGGTTGGTAGGCCTGTCACAACTTTTTGTTGTGCGATATATTGCCCCAGAAATAATTGCGATAAGCGATATTATTGTCATTCTGAAGACCATTTTATGCCACTGAATATATAATCATAATGTAACAGCATAATAATGCAAGAAGGCCTACACACTTCCAAATGACAACAAACTTTTAATTTTTTTAAATATTTAGATCATGTGCGCGATAAGTCGATATATTGATTATTGCGACAGGCCTAGTGGTTGGTCCCTTTACGCTCAGACATTGTTTAATACCACTTTTCCACCACTTTTCTAAATCGTTCAGGTGTGTGGTGGAGCAGAAAGATCTGAAAACTCTCATAATTGGCAAAGTGAACAATGTTATAAGTGGCAATGTTACTAAAGTACATTGTCTGCCTACAACTTAAATTTAGAAGTCCTATGAGTTTTGAAAACCGATTTAAAAGCTATTGTAATTTAATTCAGCTTCTTCATGCCATCACAAGATACCAGTAGTTATTTAATATATAACAAATAAAACTAGTTTCAATCAATTCAAACATGACATTTAATTAAATAAACTTGAACAAAATAAAATTATTTTAGATACTAACAGAGGACAAACGTAATAATAAACTGCCCAAAGCCAATGTGCAAATGACATACATATAAACCAGATCAACTGAACATGCATGTCTTCTCTGCATCCTGTAGAGTGCCCAAGTTTTGTTTTGTGTCAATTTGGCCAAACCAAGTTGTTATTGTTAAGAAACCTTTACTTGATGAGGACTATTATGTTAGTGTTTCCTGGTTTGACACCAGCAGGTTTAAAGGGTTAGTTCACTCAAAAAAAAAAAAAAAAAATCCGTTATTTACTTACTCTCAAACCAGTAACAGATATTTTTTAATGAATTCTAAGATATTTAAGTCCCTGGAAGTTCATTCCTTCAGAACTTCGATGCTTCAAACAGTTCATAAAGACATTCTTAAAGAAATTCATATGAATTGAGCAATTCAATCCAAGTGTTCTGAAGGAACATATAGCTTTATATGATGATCAGATTTAATTTAGACTTTTATTCACATAAACATAGATCAATGCACGCACATAGAGCACATCAAATATGGTCAACGGAAGCTCAAATGGAAGACGGAAATTTCTCAGGTTTAATTAAAATGTTCATTTGTGTTTCTAAGATAAACGTTTAATGGGTTTGGAATGACATGAGGGTAAATAATTGGGAGAACTATCCCTTTAAGGAGCCAATGCAGAGTAGTGGAAACATATGGAACAGTTTCAAATGGGCCCCTTGTCAGTGAATAATGGGCATAAGTAAGCAGTTCTTAACCAGAATAAGCAGCAATGTGTACTTAGCAGTCAGTCTTGCCACTGACGCCTGTGTGAGTGTGCTTGTGGTCATCTTGTTACTGACCTTCCATGTGTGATTGTGCTTGTAGTTATTTTGGTACTGACCTCTTGTGTTTATGTTTATGGTCATCTTGTTCTACTTTCTGTGCTATGACTGCACTCATGCGTTCTTTCAGATCTTCGTTCTCTCTCTTTAGCTCCTGAACCTCGCTGCTCTTCTCATCCAGCTGTCTCTCTAGTGACTGTAAGCGGTTTTGCTGCTTCAGATCCTGAGGAGGAGACAAATAAAGAGAGAGACGTGGAGTGATGAACCACTTGAGGTGGTATAAGTGTGTGTGTGTGTGTCTGTCTGTGTGGTTTGTATGTGTACCTGCTGCAGGGCCATCATTTGTGTGTGTGTGTGTATTTCGTTCTGAAGGTCCTCAATCTGCTGCATGTGTCTCTGGGTGACCTGTCTCACCCACTCAGTGTGCTGCTGGGTCAGCTCTGCCTTCTGCTTGTCTACACACACATATACACACACAGTTGGAAGACACATTAGATCAGACATGCCGTATGCGCTGTGTTCAGTCTTGCTCTACTTTAGTCGGTGGCACTAGATGGTGCTGTTGTGCAAAATGCAATACATAATCATCAACTCATTTTAAGGAATAAGGTTTTTTTCACACAAACTTGTTTTATATACCTTACTCATTATGACAGATACTGATAGTACTTACAATTAGCATCAATATTCTAATAAAGCCTTTAGAATATTTCTGCAAATACGGCAATCAGCATATTACGAATAAACCTTTTAATAAACAAAGATATCCTGCTATTCTCTTCTGTCTGCCGTTTGAATATTATTACGCTCCATTTTAGTCCTTTAATTAACATTCATTCTTATCCATATCCCTAACGATAGAAGATGAGGCTGAAGGATGAAGGAAAATGTAGGCCAGTAACCTTTTTTAAATAAGGAGAGTTATATTGATTCATGTTCATTCATTTTAATGTCTGTATTAAAAAAAAGAAATAAATATTGAAACTAATTTAAACTGAAATGCCATGGGTCAAAACGCTAATTTACTTCTAATGTGTTGCTGATTAGCTGTATTTATGTATAGTGCACAATATTCAGTATGTGTTATTTTGTTACACTTTTGTTCATGTGAGTTGTGTTAGATAATATGCACTGTCTTATGTCTTAGTGGTCCTCAACCTTTCTGACTCCATCACCCAAGGCCCCCAATTGTCAACGACAATATTTGAAGACCCACCAAGGTATTTCCGGTGTATCTATACTGACAAAGCTGTTTATTTTATTATTATTATTATTATTATTTTAAATTATTAAAATAAATACAGTCCATAATTGAATGTTGTTCATGGTTTCCACTTTAACCTTTTCAGATCTAGAAATCACAAATGTAAAATTCCTTCATACAGCATATTTGGGTTGTCCAATATCATGAGAACCCTGGTTCTTAAAAATTGTTAAGGGCACTAATTAAAATAAGACATATGATTTCAGCATATAGAGATATGCTTTCAGCTTATTTTAAACCTTGTTTTGTCTTATTTTACACCATCTTGCTGCCCCATTGGTAGTGTGTGATAAGGCCCCCAGCCCCTGGATGACTAGGGAAGATTGTTTGTGCATTTTTTGTAGAATAGACTTAAGTAGTATTATAGTATCTATAAGTAAGTATTATATCAAGAATGTGACTATGATATTTGCAAAAAACATTCTGTATGGGGTGTGATGGTTACCCAGCTGTAGTTTGTGCTGTGTGAGCAAGCGTTGTCTTTCCGACTGAAGTTCTTCATTGGCTTGTGCGTCCAGGGCCTGAAGAGCACGCTGGTGATTTAACCTTTCCACACGCAACAACTCCTCCTCTCGCTCACGCCACCCCCGCTTTTCCCTCTCCTCTTCCCTCTCTCCCGTAGCCTTTCCATCCTCCTCGTCCTCATCTTCCTCTTTTACCACCTACAGGACAACATAAAATAACTAACATTAAGAGTTCTTTCCACAGTTGTGTGTGTGTGTGCGCACTGTCATCATTTCAATGGTTTCTGTCCACACAGTCATTGGGATCCAAAACATCACTGGACCCCAATTTCTTGAATTATATGGAAGCATTTTTCAAAATATCTTTTTTGTTCCAAATGTATGAAGAAATACTCAGAGGTTTGGAATAACATGAAAGTATATGACGACAGAATGGTTTTTGTGTTTTTTTTTTTTAAATATCCCTTTAGCAGCTCTCTCAGTTTAATTGTTATTTATTATTAATGATTATTCATTAGTAATGATAAATATATTAATCATAAGAAATCTTTTGATCTCCCGACAGCCCTAGTGTATACGCACTTGTAACTGCTGCCTCATCAGTCTCTCTTTCTCTTGAATGGTGGAATGAAGCTGAGATCTGAGCGTGCTGTTCATATCTCTTGTCTTTTGGATCTCCTGCTTCATTCGTTCCATCTCTCCATTACCGTAGCGTCTCTCTCTCTCTCCTTCCATTTTCTCTGAGAGTGCTCTCCTCTCCTCCAACTACACACAGAGACAGTCAAATAATGCTGACAGCGTGAACAGTGTGTATGATGGGTCTGAGGAAACTGTCAGTGTGTGTTACCTGTGTCTGCAGTTCTTCAACTCTGTGTTGCCACTGTTGGTTCATCTTTCTGATCTCTTCCTCTCTTTCTCTCTTCATTTCCACAATCTGATCAGAGAACTGCTTCTCAAACTGTAGCCTATACACATACATTTGCATTTAAATGAATAAAATTGCACTCTAAACCCATTTTACACATTGTTAGAAACTAGGGATGTCAAAGTTAACACATTATCGCAAATGACTAATACGTATATACTGTACAATGGTTTAGTTCTGGTTCTCAATTTAATTGACCAATATGTGTTTGAAGACTTTGTTATATTATTATAATTGTATCCCTTTGTTTGTATTGCCTTTAATTGCCACAGTTGCTGATTGCTAAGTATCAGCATGGCTCTGATTCATCATAAGGCATGACACATTCAGAACAACAGCTCTGTTTGTTTTTTTGATTCTGCCAGAAAGTCTATAAAGGGTGTGAAATTATTTAATATTTGCATTAAATTACTGCAGATTAGCACTGAGGTAAGTGCATTGTGTGCTGTTGCAGAAAAATACAAAAACTAAATTCATCCATTTTGGGGCAGTAATACAAACTACGGTTCAAAAGTTTGTGGTCAGTAAGACTTTTTATTTTTATTTTTGAAAGACAGGATGCATTAAACTGATCAAAAGTGGTGATAAAGTTTATTTATTTATTTTTACAACATTTATTTTATTTATTTTTACTCTGTTGTTTGAACTTTACATTCAATGAATCCTGAAAAAAAAAGTTCCCTGCAGAACAAATGTTGTCAACATTTATAATAATAAAGAAATGTTTCTTGAGCACAAAATCAAAATCTTAGAATGACTTCTAAAGGATCATGTGACACTGAGGACTGAAGTAATGGCTGCTACCAGCACAAGAATACATTTGTTTAAAATTATACTACAACAGAAAAGAGTTATAATATTGCCAAATATTATTGCAATTTAAAATAACTTTTCATCTTTATTTTTAATCAAATAAATGCAGCCTTGGTGAGCGTAAGAAACATTGAGAAATCTTACTGACCCAAAAATTCATTAATAACATGAGTAAAATAAATCGCAATTAAATATTTTCATTAACAGACAGCTCTATTAGAAACACACATGTAATGTGAGCGAATTTCTCTTTCTGTCCCTTCATGTCTCACTTTCATTCTGACACACCTGATTCTCTCCTCTATACCATGATTGGACTGTTGTAGAATGTCTCTCTCTTGCTGTAGAGCAGAAATCTCTGCCTGTAACACTTCCTTCTGTGCAGCAAACTCCTCCTGTGGGAGACATAAAAAGAAAGGAGGACAAGGATGGATAGACTCATGATTGGAAGGAAAGATCCATGGATTAAGGAAGAAAAAGTAGAAGATCGGTTGCTAGGTGAATATTAACATCTTTCTTTCCTCTGGGCGGCACAGATCTGCTGAGATCAGCAGAACCTTGTGCTGCCATAAGGGAATTGCCGATCTGTGTGTGCTTGTGAGTATTTGTGATAGAGCTGCACAGTAATGGAAAGGGACATCACTGACACTTTGTCCACATGTCAAAGGGAAGAGTGTGTTGAGCAAAAAGGAGCGAGAACCTGTATTTGCTGCATACTGCTGTGTGTGTTTTCCAGTTCTTCTTTCACTCGTACACACTCCGGGCCACATGCTGACTGCCGCTCCACCTTTGCATACTCCTGCTCTCTCTCTTTTGCCCTTTCCTTCTCCTCTTCTCTTTCTCTCTCCAGCGTCTGAATCACCCCCTCCAATTTCGCCATCTGCAAGCCAATAAAACTTAGATCAGCAAAGACCTTAACAGCATGTGGAATCCACTCAAGTTTGATATAATTTATGTGGGCCATACAAAGAAAGTGATCTTCTGTTTTTAGAATAGAGTCTTTATTTAAAGCAACCTGAGGTTAAGGTTTTTTCTCAAAGGGATACAATGGGGATTGTTATAGGGTGTGTCTGAATCCATTCTCTAGATCAGTAGTAAGAGTAAATTGTTTTCTTACTACACTCAGTTACCCGTAATATTGTCAAAAGTAATGTTATTTAACCGGCAATGTTGTCACCATTTATGAAAAAAAAATTTTTTTCTGTTATTCACTGAGGTGTAATTTGTAATCATCTTTACTATATCATTCAAAAGTTTTCCAGTTCTGTTTTTTTTTTAAAGAAATAAATACTTTTATTTCATTGATCAATGTTACAAAATATTTCTATTTCAAATAAATGCTATCGCTTTGAATGTTCTATTCATCAAAACATTTGCCCCAAAATATTAAGCAGCCCAATCATTTTTAACACTGAGAATAAAAGGAAATGTATTAAAACAGAAAACAGTTATTTCAAATTCATAATATTATTGTCTTTAATGCATTTGCGATCAAATAAATGCATCTTGGTGACCATAAAAGACTTCATTCAAAAACATAAAAAAGTCTTACCAAACCCAAACTTTTGAATCATTATTGTGTATTACAAACTTTCATATTATACAGGAATTGAAGTTGTTGTTGAAGACTAAAAAGACCCATTTTCCCTTTTCATTAATGTTCTGCAATTTTATTTTTATTATATTTGTGCATAATGTCTGAATGCCATTATGTTTAAAGCGGGACAAGCACATAATTCATAATGGCACTGTTTTTTTGTAACGGCTACAATGAAGAAGCCCGATGGCATGTTCAATGATCCTGTTGATAAATAGCAAAAACATCTTAATGAGCTTTATAGGTGTCACAGGAAATTGAGTCCCAATTCACGAACAACCATTTTTGTCCCCGTAAGGTTGTGGACAGCAGGTCCTACGAAAGAGAGCTGCCAGTTAGACAGCAATGGTGAAGTGATTGAAATAGGAAATAGTCCTTTTTTAAGACATAAGCTATCACAGTTACCGTTTCTGAAACGGCTTTCAGGATTCATAAATCATTTTGCAGGTTCTATTTAATCCACCTGCACTGATACCGCCCATTATTTTGCAGTTTTTTGGAAGCACACATCAAATGGCATATTTATTAAGTTAAATCAGAAAAATGCATGACATCCTGTAAACATGTTAGCAGACGAGCTTTAGTAGATCATTTTAGTACTTTTTGGGTGTAGCTGCACACAAACCTAAGGGCAGTGTTTGAAACACTTGGAAACAAATGAGCCAGACGACCTAGTATTAGATTTTTCAAGAAATGTCCCTAGTGGGATTTTAACCTACAACCTTTTGTGCACCAACCTAGATCATTAAACACTAGGATACCACCACAATCCATACATTTAACTTGACTTAGAGCAAATGGGTTTCTGATAAATAGCAGAAACTGATGCTTGCTTCACTGCAACGCAGCACTAAAACAACAATCCTCTTCCTAGCTATCACTTATTAAGCATTATTTCGTTATCATAACCCAGTTCCAAGCCTGCTGGCATATTAGATGAAGCATTAGACGAAGCCCTGTGCCTTGGGCACTACAAATGTTCTTTGTGTTTTCTCATTTATCATGGTCATGTGGAGAGCTCTGGGCCTCTCAGTCTGCGTATTTAAGCAGAAGGACTGAGCATGCTCCCTTTGCCTGAGCTTCAAACCAATTTGAAAAAGCTTGATATGTATATAGTTCAAGTTATTTGTGGTGACCTGATTCATTAGTAGGTCAACAATGTTATGCAAACATATCCAAGATTGTTTTGGCTTTTAAGAGGAAAAGCAAAAGACAAATGTAGTGGTATTCTTTGCAGTAACTTACCTCTCTGTTGGACAGCTGTAGTTGGTTGTGTAGCTCTTCCCTCTCTGTCTCTAAAGCCTTTCTCTCTTCTTCTCCGGTTTTCATCTGCTCCTCAATCTGTAGTCAAACCAACATTATAATACTAGTATCTCTTAATTTCAATAATATTTCAACAGATCTTTTTAATAGTGCTTTGCTGGTTACTTTTTAAATTGTTTTAAAGAAGGCATATAGTCTACATCTTTGCAGCTGTTTTTTTTTTTTCCTTGCCTTATATTGCATTTAAGGTATACTCTTTTCTCAGTTCATACATTCCATGGCAACTAATATCATGAAATCGGTGTCACAACATTCAGGCACTACTGTTTGAGCTACAGGAACACTTACAGGAACACTTTCTTGTAGCAAAATATTAATTAAATATTACAAACATTTTCCACCCTTTCTAACTTTTAGAATTAGCTCTACAAAAAAGAAAATTTATCTTGTAGCAAAATATTAATTAAATATTACATAAACATTTTCCACCCTTTCTAACTTTTAGAATTAGCTCTACAAAAAAGAAAATTTATTTCATTTAATTTTAAACCGTCTTTTTTCCTTTTGTGGAACACAAGCCAAGATTCTGAGCAGAATGTTGCTCAATTCCATTCAACAAGATCTACTTGTATTTCAGTCTTTTACATTAGAAGCACATGAGTTGTATTGACCACTTTTATAATGTGTTTATGCTATTTTGTTCTTTTTGGAGTTCGAAAGCCCCTGGTTCATTACATGAAAGAGGGTGAACATTTTCCTTTTGTGTTACATGGAAGAAAGAAAGTCATGTAGAAATGAAACAAAGGGTGAATAAATGATGTTTTATTTTTTGGTCAGCTAAACATTTAAATAGGCCGTTTTTAGCTTCTGTACCTTTAAGACTTTTTATGCGACTAACTTGTTATGATATGATGGCTAATCTCTGCATGTTCATAAGGGTGGGCCAAGTTTCTGAATGCCGAATATGCGTCATATGTTAATGTGATTCTGATTTCAGAATGACCCATTTTTGCAGCTTAGTTTCCATAATTGGTATGAATGGACTTGGGCTTGGAGATTTGCATTGTGAATAATAATGTGTGTCTATAAACAAAGCACAAAGAAAATTATTTGTATTTCCCCCGTAACAATAAAGCCACACTAATATAGATGGGTAAACGTACAGATTATATTCATTATATATTCTCTTAAGATATTCTTAAAATCCCATGCTCAGTCTCTGCCTTTTTTTATTGGAAAAAAGAACATAAAAACTTTCGACATTTAAATATTTCCAAATGAAATCAAATCAGAAAGTCAGTGCCGATTGCCCACCTTTCACACCAGTAGTAACAGGCGCAAATGAGAAGGTATGAAGTTATTAGCAAAGCTAGTGTGTCTGTAAGTTCACATGAAAACCGCAGTTGAAATCTGTCGTACCTGCTGCGTCTTCTTTTTCTCTGCATCCAGCATTGTGTGCGCTTGCCGCAGCTCACTGGCATGTTTGCGTATCACTTCTTCAAGTGCTTTCCGAAGCTGCTCTTTCAGCCTTACTTTCTCTTCTTCCATCTTCTGCTGAACCCGTTTCTTCTCTTCTTCCAGCTCCTGTCTGTCATTCTTTCTTTCGTTCTCCACCTCCTGCTGAAGGCGTCTGATCTCCTCAGTGTGAGCTCGCTGTAGCTCCAGACGCATAGAGGATAGAGCATCTGCATGCTAAAACACACACACATGACTCTTAATGATATAAAACTGTAATCGTGTAGTTTCAAAAGAATGACACTACGCCTTTTAAGCCTCTGGTGTGTCAGTTGTGATGTTTTAAGATGTTCAAAGGGCTTGGCTGATCTTTCTCTGCATACAAACGCTTTTCAAAGAACATTTTAAGGTGTGCTTTACTCATTTGTATTTGTGCGTCTGAGATGGCAGGCCTCATTTGGGATGTGATTTCACAGCATTTCACCATGTGGTTTATGTGTTCTTGTATGCTAGAGGTGCTGTAGAGAACAGTACAGCTGTTTAAAAACAGCAGCACGATTTTTCTGTCTGAGATGAATTTTAGGTACTGTAAAATATTTCTTTAATAGTACTGACAAAACACTGAAAATATGTCTTGTGTGAACGGCCCCTAAATCTACCTCGGACAGACTGACAAACTTGATTGCAAAAAGTGAACGTCTGTGGACTGTAGGCTTCTGTTCAGTGATATGGAAGTAAAACTAACCTATGGATATATTTATTTTTAAAGCAACCTTTTATTTTGTCTATTTAATTATTTACTAGCCTCTCTTTGAAATATTTTCTACCAAATATTGTTTTTGAAATATTGAAGCTATTAATCTGATTAATTATTTAGCATATCTGATTAATTTGATGTCTAATGATGACAAATATAAGTACACAAGCCTTTCACTGATCTGTACTGTGCATGTGCACCTGACTTGCTCTGTAGCTCATTCTCTTGCAGTAATAATCGTTCTTTGGCTACAGCTAACTCCTCCTCTGCCTTCTTTGCCACAGCCTCAGCCTCGGCCACCCGGTGACGCCCATCCTCCAACTGATCCTCAAGGTCCTGTAAAAGAAATGAGTAATACGAATCAGCATAACTATTACAATTGCTTATACTTAAGCTAGGTCTACACTACACAATTTTCAAAGTCATCGGATTAATGCTCCTTTCAGTCGTTTGCATGTTACATGACGGATCAGCGACTGGGGGTCACACATGACACAATATTTCACTTGGATGAATCCCCGACCACTCTGTCTTGTGTAAAAAAATGGAAGCGCGAGAAGTGATACAGGGATGTAAGGCTATGACTCCTCCCCCTGAAATTTCCCTTGCCCTGTTTCTTGCTCTCTCATTGGCTGAAGGTCATTGGCGATGACATTTCCAGTCAAAATACATTGCAAGGCTCTGAGCATAGGCATCGTATCGGCACTTCTCTCAGATCACCTCATTCAATCATCACTCATGTGAATGAGCACAGATCTTCCTCAGATTTTGGGCTTTTGTCCACAATTTATGGCCTAAAATTGTGTAGTCTATACCTGGCATTAGGGTTAGAAGGAAATCCCTAACCATAGGTATTAACCTGCAAAGCATAACTTGTACTGTTAGTGATATGCACATGAACGATATTTCGTGAAATCGTGAAGATCACTGAAGAGAAAATATCATAGACTTGCACTGAAGGAAGCACTAAATCCTTCTGTATTCTTCTTAGCTGTTATTTTCTTCTTTTTTTCCTAACTTAAGAATAAAATTAAGAATATGTTGTATTCATTTTGTATCCCTTTTCGTAAGAATTTTTTTTTTTTTTTTTTTTCAAGATTTCTTGGATCGCCAATGCCATGCAATCAGAAAACCCCAAAGCATGTCATTCTCTTCTTAAGAAAAAAAAATGTTCTTAAGAAGATATGTGATAACTTCTCAAGAATTTTTCGAGAATTGCACTTTGGAACAATCTTATGAACTTCCTAGAATTTATTTTATTATTCACTTTCTTAACTTCTTTCTTAAGAAGATTTTCATGAGAATATCACAACTACCCAGAACACCCTAGAAACCACATAGCAACACGCTACAAACACCTCAGAAACTGCATTGCAACAACCTGACAAACACCCTAGCACCACTCACATTTTCTTAAGAAACTAAAAAATGTAGTTGTCCATTATTCTGCTGGATCCTCTTATTGAATGATCCTGCAGCAGAAATGAACAACCATAACGGCATCATCTGTCAGGCCCATGAAGCCCAAGATGACTTTAATCAGTCAATTCTGGCCGCCTCATGAACACTTTGAGCCCACAAACCTTTGATTACATCACAGCAGCTGCTCTGAGTTTGCTGATCTGAGGTGCCTCTGATTAATTTTCTGTCAAGGATGTCGTGCCAAAGCAGAGAGGGTGTTACTCATCTCACTCTGTGCCTGGCATTTTTAGGCACATCTAATGCGCATTAGCCGCAGTGTATGTAAAAAGCTGCATCAGAGACGGTGGAGTCAATGTTGCATGCCTAGCAACTCTTACTGATTTAATCACTTGGCTTTATCCTGTTCTAAATACTAAGTGTAACGACTTACTTTTGTGTCCCACTTAAAAAAAGCCTATGTTATTTTTATATTCTGCAGGTTCTGTGCAGCACTTGCTGTAGAAAAACCGACTACAAATCTGTGGGATATTGTCACAGACTGTTTAAGTCGGGTATGCCATCTGTTTCTACACAGCTGTGTGTGTCTGAGTAATGGTAATTGTGGGTGTTTGTCTGATCCCTCTAATCTCTGTCTCAATTAGATTCGGAAGTGTCAGTCACAGCAGTAATTACTGCCCCCTTACACTGAGACGAACACCCCGCTGAAAGGTCAGTTACAAATGGTCAGTCAAGTGAATTTATGTGAGATGTCTTGTAAAGCAATACTGGTTTGTGTGTACATAATGAGTGTTTTGTTTTTGCTATGTATAAATAGAAACATTTATATTCGCCACATACATCTTCATGAATTATCAGGCCTGGAAATCACAATTTTTTGTTTTTCCATGATAATAATGTAAGACGAGCTTGTGGTTGAAATTTTAAAAAGTGTCAAATTTTATATTCAGTTTTTATATCATTTGTATTTCATTAAACCTAATTATTCTCACTTTTGGCTGGTTCTGTCTCCACAGCGGATCACCTGCATATTTATTTGGCATATGTTTTATGTCGGATAACAAAAATAAAATCTAAATATACTGAATGTCTATTATATGTATATTGTATATTAAATAGAATTATGCACTAAAAAAAGTTAATAAATGCTGATAAAATTACAGCAAATCTAATGGTCATAAATTGACACTTAAATAATAATTTGTGTATATATATATATTTATAAATAATACAAATTTAATGAAAAATATGAAACCATAATAACTGTGGCCAAAACTGCTACTGGTGTCCATTAAAAAAAAAACATTCTGACATTTTTATATGACATTTTATCTATATGTGACCCTGGACCACAAAACCAGTCTTAAGTCGCTGATATATATTTTTTTTTAAGTAAAGTATGCATAATGCACAATAACCTAAAATAAAAATTTGATTAACCTGGAGTGGGCAAAAGTGGCAAAAGGTTCATTTGGACCCTGTTGGACCCACATGTGTACCTCTACTCTCTCCTGAAGTTTGCTGCAGTGTCTGTTGCTCTCATTCAACCTCTGTTCTTGAACCTCCAAGTCTGTCTCTGCTTTTCTCAGCCTCTGCTGAAGTGTTGCATTCTGGGACTTGCGGTTTTCTTGCTCTCTCTGGTGCCACTGATTGATGTGTTCATTGAGGCTCTTTTGTAGTGTCTTCTCAGCTGCCTTCTGCTCCTCCCTCCTCTCTTCTTCCATCTCCTTCACTCTCTTCTTCCACTCCTCCACATCTCTCTTCCATTCCTTCTCCACTCTCTCTTTCTCCTCCCTCAGAGCCTGTAGCTCCTTTCTTACCGTTTTCAACCTTTCTTCACACTCCTCCTCTACTCGTTGTCTTTCCTGTGACTCTCGATTCCTCTCCTCCATCTCTCTCTTCCTCTCCTCCTCCACTCTATGCATCTTCTCCTCCTCCTCTCTCTTTCTCTCTTCATCTCTGGCTCTACGTAGCTCTTGGCACTCATTCTCCAAGCGCTTGTTTTCTTCCTGTGTTTGTTGCAGTAATTTGTGTTGGTTGTCTCTATCTGTCTGCAGGTTCTGGTAGTCTATGCGCAGATCTGATGTCTCTTGGGTTAACACGGCTATGCACTCCGCATACTCTATTTCAGCCCTCTGTCCACGCTCCTCCACCTGAAATGGATACACATCCTAAGAAAATGAAGTGATACTCTCCATGTTGTATTTAATATACTTATAATGAGTCCATTTACAGAATACGTGTGTATGTGTGACCATTTTTGTTTTTACTTCCTCTACGGTGGCCTGCAGCTCTAGAAGGCGTGTCCTCAGAATAAATGCTGACTCCTCCTCTTCTTCATCCTGACCTGTGGTTGGCTGGAGGCTGCCCTGTGTCTCCGTGGCAACACGGCGTAGTGACTGCAGAGTTGCCTCTTGCTCCTCATTCTTAGTGTTTAAAGAATATATCACCTATGCATAAAACACACACACATAAATATAATTAAGTTATAATGGCAAGACAAGGATTGCAGTCCACGTGTGTATGTTAATTTCATGCTCTTAAAAATAAAGGTTCTTTATTGGCATTTATGGTTCCATGTAGAACCTTTCCATGAACCTTTCAATGCACAAAATGTTCTTTATAGTGAAAAATGGTTCTTTAGATTATAAAATGTTCTTTGCGCTAAGAAAAAAAAATGGTTCTTTTAAGAACTGTTCATTGAAAGATTCTTTGGGGAAACAAAAATGGTTCTTCTGTTGCTGCGAAAACCCCCTCTTGGAACCTTTATTTGTAAGAGTGTAGTTCCAAACCTATAGCGCTAAACAAAGAGTCTTGTTCTCACTGATGAAATCTTTCACCTCTCTGATTGAACCAGTCATACACCCACAGTCTGCAGTTACTGAGCTGCAGTTTATCTAGTACATGTGTGTCTGTTTACGCTCTGCAGATGTCTGTGTTAACCTTCTACGAGTGCTTGCGATTGGTTGTGCACAGCTGTTGGACTGTGTTTGGCATTTTCACATTAGTGTCCCCTGGCATTTTTCAAGCATTAGAGGCACTAATCCCTCAACACAAATAATTGTTGTGAGAATGGTTATATATCTTAGATAAATTATCTAACATGAAATGAAAACAACATGAAAACGTAATCCAACAATTTTGACAATCTGTTTCCCAAGTCTCACTTCCCACATTATGCGCACAACTCAAATAACCTTATAATATGTTCTCCGTTACAAAAAAAGTAACATTCTGTGAGGTTCGCAAGTTCTCAAGAAATAATTAATTGACACCTAAGATTAAACATTAATTGCACCTTTTCTGCAGTAAATTATTTATGTTTACAACATTCTTACAAATACAGTGTGATGACTTTATTCTTGAAGCTAAATCATTATATATATATATATATATTATTCCAAAGACAAATGCTATTGTTTGTACAGAGATTGTATTTTTTTACATTCGTAAATCCTCCCCAACCAACCCAAAACAGACTGCCTATTATAGATAATAATAATAATAATAATAATAATAATAATGATGATGATAAAAGAAAACTAAAATAAAACAAAGATAACAAAGATGCAATAGTTGAATAATAACAAGTAATAATAATAAGTAATTGGATACTACAATCAGGTATAATACAGTGTCATTTCACTGTGATGAACAACATAAACCCTACATAAGGGAGGGGCGAGAATAAGAAGAAATTGCAATAAGAATATAAATCCCATTACTCCCCAGGAAGTACATTTATATCAGAGAAATGTGATAATAAGGGTTGCCAGACATAAGAGAATTTATGGGAACCTCTAATTGAATATTTAATCTTTTCCAAGTGTAGGTATAACATCAAATCCTGAAGCCAGTGTGATGCTTTAGGCGGATTTGTAGATTTCCAAAGTAATAAAACTCGTCTGCGAGCCAATAAGGATGCAAAGGCAATAATGTTTAGTTGTCTTTGAGTCAGACTCGATTCATCGCCTGGAACACCAAATATTGCAAATTCAGCACATGGCTTCAGCTGTACTTCACACACTTTAGAAAGTGTATTGAATATGATTGACCAGTAAGCTGTAAGTGTAGGGCACATCCAAAACATGCGAGTCAGGTCCGCTTCACCTGTGTGACACCTTATACAGGTCTTGTCAAAGGTAGGATTAAAAGAGGCAATCCATGTTCTGCTTAAGTGCATACGGTGCAATACTTTAAACTGTATTAAACTCAATCGGGCACAAGAGGTACTCCTATTCACTCTACATAGGGCATTGTTCCAAAGTTCCTCTCAAAATACTACTCCGAGCTCTTTCTCCCATCTGCTTCTAATCTTACACTTTTTAAAGACATGATAATTGTATATATTCTTGAAATAAAGCCTTGTAGATGAAAGTGTACTTCTAACAGAGAGTCAGCAGCAGAAGACTTTGAGGAAATGTTTGGGAATGATGGGCTTTGAGCATTCACAAAATGACGTATCTGAAAATAACGGAAAAGGTTATTTTTTGATTAAGATTGAATTTGGAATGCAGATCATTAAATCTTGCAAAAAGACCATCAATATAAAGATGTTCTTCTCTTGCCACCGTTTAAATGCAGAGTCTAGTTTGGCAGGGAGGAATGCATGATTATTGCAATTGGGTTCTGAAGCAAAAGTGCTTGTCTTAACTTCAAATGCTGGCGTAGCTGAGTCCATATTTTAAGAGTGACGTGAACAACTGGATTTGTTGTGTGTTCTGCTATTTTAATAGGTAAACTATGAAGGTAGAATGACGTCAAAAAGATTTGCATGTGCAGGGATTTCGATTCTGTTTCATACCAATCAGTACCTCCTGGTGAGCGCATCCAATAGATTATCTTTTGGACATTATCCGCCCAATAATATTAAAAGTTAGGGAGAGCTAAATCTCCGTCACTCCTATTTTTCTGGAGAAACTCTTTCCTGAATCCTAGGGGTCTTCCCATCCCATAAAAACGGGAAATAAGTTTATCTAATGTGTTGAAAAAGGCTTTGGATAAGACGATAGGGAGGCACTGAAATAGATATAAAAATCTAGGAAGAACTGTCATTTTAACACAGTTCACCCTGCCAACCAAAGACAGATGGAGAATCTTCCATTTTACAAGATCAGATTTAAGTTTAATCAATAGAGGAGTAAAATTATAGTCCTTTAAAATTGTGTGTGATATTAATACCCAGATATTTAAACTCAGACCTTGCCATGCGAAAGGGAAACACGGAGTCAGGCATATGCCTGGCAAGTGTATTAACAAGCATGCACTCACTTTTGGAAATATTCAACTTGTAGCCCGAGAAGGTCCCAAAATTGTGCCAGACTTTGATAATATCATTGATGCATGATAAAGGATCTGAAATGTAAAGAAGCAGGTCATCAGCATATAATGAGAGCTTATGTTCGACACCCCACCTTATATGCCATGAAAAGAGAGTGTGGATTTTAATGCTATAGACAATTGTTCAATTGCAATTGTAAATAAAAGGGGGCTTAATGGGCACCCCTGCCGAGTGCCGCTTGAGAAAGAAAAAAATTTTGTTAGTAACCACGGAAGCAACTGGAGAAGTATACAACAGGTGAATCCATTCAATAAATCTGGTGCCGAATCCAAACCTATCCATAGCGAAAAAAAGATAATCCCATTACACTCGATCAAATGCCTTTTCGGCATCTAATGATACTACAATTTCAGGGGTGTCTTGAGATGAGGGTGGGGGTGTAAATAACAATTAAGAGGCGACGGATGTTGGAAAATATGTGCCGACCTTTTATAAAGCCGGTCTGATTTGCTGAGATGATATTGACTAGGGGAGACTCTAAACGAATAACCAGTAATTTTGCTAAAAGTTTGACATCTGCATTTAACAAAGAAATTGGTCGATAGGAACTACATTGTGTTGGGTCTTTCTGTGGCTTTAACAAAAGTGTAATCAATGCTTCGGTAAGGGACTTTGGCAGAGTTCTTTGAGATAAAGAATGTTCAAACATACTGAGAAGGAGTGGAGATAATTTAGCGGAAAACTTCTTATAAAATTTGATGGGAAAGCCATTGGGGCCCGGGGGCCTTGCCGCTCTGCAATGCTGATATGGCCTCAGATATTTCTTGCAGCTGAAAGGGGGTGATCTAAGTCTTTTTTATGTTCTAATGAAATAGTGGGGACATTTATTTTATCAAAAAACTACCAATTAAGATTGATCCTTAGGTGTTTCTGATGTATAAAGACTAGAATAAAAGTTCATAAAAATGTTGTTAATTGTAAGGTGATCAATTGTCAATTCCCCAGCATCGTTTGCGATTTCAGAAATGTGTGGTGCTGATCACCTGGATTTAAGTTGATGGGCTAAGATATATAAGATATATACATATACATACATACAAACATACGTGTGTGTGTGTGTGTGTGTGTGTGTAAAACAGTAAAGCCCAACATTTGTTCCCAAACCAGTTAGTCCTTACTGAGTGGTAGTTTAATTAAGGCTAAATTTCCAACCCTGTCACCCATACTGCATTATTTTTCAGTTTAACTTAAATTTAACTTTATTTAAAACTCCAGTCCGCAACTTTTGGTGCTCTAGCGGTTAATAAGCAGAACTGCATGCATCTTGTGGAAGAACATTGTAGCCGGAGCTACTTCTCTCTGTTTATATCTATGTCGAGTCACGCAGGTACTGGGCTACTCCACAGCGGTGCTGATTTTGTAAAAATTAAAAAGCACACACACAAGATTATAAACTGCATTATTTTTGTAACAGTTGAAAAAATTTAAAGTTCTTACTAAGTGAACAGAAAATAAAATAGCTACTCCTTTCACTGACCATTTGTCAAAAAAAAATTTTTTTTTTTTTAAAAACCCTGTTTGCAGAAAGTGTCGTTTCATAACACAGTGTAATCTGTGAGTAGCGTTTGTGTATTTGTGTCTGAATGTGTAGGCATATGAGAGAGTCCTAATATTATGTGTCACTTTGGCTATCCATCAATGTGTCCTACCCACAAGTCCCCATGCCTGGGGTGTCATCAGATTCCCAACGTCTCACTCATCCCTCCAGCGGGTCGTGTGCTACCATGACGCCTGACTGTCTGTCGTTAATCGCCACCGCAGCAGAGCTGGACATTCCGTATGATAAACTGCCAGGAAGCTGTCTCCTTCTCACCCATCTTTCTCTCTCCACCTCTTTTCCTGTCCCCCACAGTGTTTCTGTAAGCCGACCACCTTCTCTCTTTCTCTCTCTCTCTCT